CCCCTTCTTCTCCCCCTTGTTCCTCAGTTAAGTTCCTCCTGATCCTCCTATACGTGCAAACATATGATATTTGTCCTTCTCTGCCTGACTTATTTTGCTCAGCATAACACCCTCAAGGTCCATCCACATTGCTACACATGGCTGGATTTCATTGTTTCTCATTGCCATGTAGTATTCCATGGTATAGATAAACCACATTTTCTTGATCCATTCGTCCATTGATGGACACTTAGGCTCTTTCCATGTTTTGGCTATTGTTAAGAGTGCTGCTATGAACATTGGGGTATATGTGCTTTTGTACCTCCAAGTTTCAGCTCCTAAGGCTGTCTGCAAAATAGAAACTAGCATTCTCCATCTTTCTCATTCCCAAGTCCATGGTTCAGAGAGACTTTCCTCTTGTGCTAAGAAGATAGTGAAGCCCTCTTTCTTTCTCTCCCTTCTGTCTCCCCACAGAAGTGGTTCCCTCCTCTCCATGCCTATGCCATTTTATCTCTCGCAATTCAAATACACATACCTCATACCTTGGTCCTGCCACATTGTCTCCCTCCACCTGTGGAGATCCTCTGCCATGCTACAGACTGATTTCCTGGGTGTTCCAAGTGATTTGCCCTCCATACAGCTGTGTTTGAGGGATAAGGGAAATCCCGGTCCCCATACTTCTCCACCATCTTAACTCCTCCCTGAATAACTACTGTCTTAAATCACCAGGTTTTGGAGTAACTTTGTTATTTAAGACAAGTTCACTAGCATACTTAGCAACAGAAAATGTGCATTATGTTATGTCATTAGAACATTTACAAAAATTGTATATTTTTGTGTTAGATTGTTTCCATAATTGGCTCTCAACAATTTCTCCTATCCTTACAGGATGCAATGGAAAAACTATAAAAACTTTCAATCCCAGTCTCTAACACGCTTTATGGGTTTTGCTTTTGCCAATATGGAAAATTGATACTGGGAGCTGAAAAATAGGGGAGAGGCTCTGTTATATAGTTGTAGAACAATAAACAAAATTCAGGCCTAGAGTAACTTGCATGGTTAAAACCATGCCCAATAAACGTGTAGATCTGACTAAGGAAATTTCCAGCCAGAATGCTTAAAATACTATTTGGCTTATACTACTTGACCTCAACCACAGCAAGTTCTTACTTGACACATCCCCAAAGGCAAGGGAAATCATGAGCAAAAATGAACTATTGGGACCTGATCAAGATTAAAAGCTTCGGCACGGCAAAGGAAACAACCCACAAAACTAATAGGCAACCAACGGAATGGGAAAAGATAGTTGCAAAGGACATATCAGATAAAGGGTTAGTAACCAAAATCTATAAGGAACTCACCAAACTCCACACCCGAAAAACAAACAATCCAGTGAAGAAATGGCAGAAAATACGAACAGACACTTCTCCAAAGAGGACATCCAGATGGCCAACAGACACATGAAACAATGCTCAGCATCCCTCCTCATCAGGGAGATACACATCAAAACCACACTGAGACCTGACCTCTTGTCAGTCAGAGTGGCTAAAATGAGCAAATCAGAGGACTCTAGATGCTGGCGAGGATGTGGAGAAACGGGCACCCTCCTAAACTGTTGGTGGGAATGCAAACTGGTGCAGCCTCTCTGGAAAACAGTGTGGAGGTTCCTCAAAAAAATAACAATAGAACTCCCCTATGACCCAGAAATAGCACTGCTAGGAATTTACTCAAGGGATACAGGAGTGCTGATGCATAGGGGCACATGTACCCCAATGTTCATAGCAGCACTCTCAACAATAGCCAAAACATCGAAAGAGTCTAAGTGTCCATCAACAAACAAATGGTTCAAGAAGATGTGGTTTATCTATACGATGGAATACTACATGGCAATGAGGAAGAATGAAATCTGGCCATGTGTAGCAACGTGGATGGAACTTGAGGGTATTATGCTAAGGGAAATAAGTCAGGCAGAAAAGGACCCATATCATATGTTTGCACGTATAGGAGGATTAGGAGGAACTTAACGGAGGACCATGGGGGAGAAGAAGGGAAAAAATAGTGGGGGTGAGGGAGGGAGGCAAACCATGAGAGACTCTTGAATGCTGCGAACACACTGAGGGTTGATGGGGGTGGGGGGGAAGTGGATGGGGGGTGATGGGCATGAAGGAGGGCACTTGTGGGGATGAGCACTAGGTGTTAAATGGAAACCAACTTGACAATAAACTATTTAAAAAATAAATAAATAGTAATAACAAAATAATAAAATAACAGAAAAATAAATAAATAAATAAATGGGAAAAGAGTTAGTAATAGAGATGCAAAAAAAGAATAAAAAGAATTCTAAGATGGCATAATGTAAAATTCTAAGCAATTAATTTGAAAAACATTTAAAAATGGATGAATCTATATTAAAATAAAAACTACCAATACACGTACACCAAAAATTTAAAAAGGAATTGGAAAAGTGGTCAAAGCGGTACCATTTTTGGTTAAAAAATCTCCTAGTGATTTTGCAGATAAGTTCTATATAATATTCAAATTATATCTCCTTTATTAAAAAAAGTCCTTTCAGCTTTGAAATATGTATGTTATATATCAATTATTTCTCAATTTTTTAATAAAAATTCTTTAATAAGCTTTAGATTTAAAAAATTCAGTATTTTTGTCATGTCAGTACCTCCTATATTACATTATATATGTGCAAAAAGATTATTCAATTTATTCAAATATAGATGGAATGTAATTATAATTATTGTTCACATTTTTATTAAGGATTTAATATCCTTAATACTTAAAAGTATGTAGTTTTAACAGAAAGACAGAATTCTTGGCACCATACATAGAAAAAACTAAGTGACGTTTCTATACATTTAGGAGTTGATGATCTTTGAAAAGAAACAGTAAATGGGAGATCACATTTGAATTTATGCTTTTTAGCCCCACTGACAAATAGAGAGGATCACTGGGCTATCCAGTCCAACCAGAGTGCATCTTAGAACTCTGCAAATCTGGTAAAGTTATTTAATATCTCTGAGTTTCCTTTTCTAAGAATGGCATACAGTAGTCTCCTCTTATCCACAGTTTTGCTTTCTGCAGTTTCAGTTACCTATGGTCAACCACACTATGACTATAGTCACAAGATCAATAGTAACCTAATGCTATGTCACAATGCCTATGTTATTTCATCTCATTTTGTTTCATCAAGTATGCATTTATCATCTCACATCATCACAAATAAAAGGATGAGTACAGTACAACAAGATTTTGAGACAAATCACATTCATATAACTTTTACTGCAGTAATTGTTGTAACTGTTTTCTTTTATTATTAGTTATTGTTATTAATCTCTTACCTCACCTAAGTTATTAATTAAGCTTTATCATAGGTAGGTGTGTATGTACAAGAAAAAATATAGGATATATAGGTTTTGGTACCATTCATGGTTTCAGGCATGTATGTATGACAGACAGGAATGTATCCCTCTGCCTAAGGGAGGACTACTGTGACAGTAATTACTGCTAATCATACTAAAATATGTTGTATGTGATTTGACTCACAAAATATTCAAATATGTAAAATATTTCTATTTTCTAAAAGATATTTTTGTCCTCATCCATATGATTAAGCTCCCAAATGCCCACTTAGTAGATAGTTGCCTAGAGGAAATACAACCTGTTTTTCTAACAAATAATATGAAAATCAAGTTAATAGAATAACAAAATATTTTTATCACTTTATCCAAACATGATCTTTTTTGAAGTACAACTCTGGCTACTGACTGCTAGTACATTTGATGTATTTGAGGAAAAAGCACCTTTGTTCAGGCAAATGCAATTATTCAAGGGTATATACTTGGCAAACCATGGGCTAGATTTTAATACCCACTTGTACCTAAACCCACTCCCTTATTCAAGGCATAATTTGTACAAAGTAAGGGCCGGCTTGGGTCCAGATGGATTATTTTATCTACATCCTTGAAATACACAATAAATACAAGAATAATTCTTGGAATAATAATACTCTAAAAGGTACACAACAAACAACAAAAAACTAGTTCACTTAAAAACTAAACTTTTATATGACTTATAAAACACTTTAAAAGCATTATAATTACTTGAACAGATGGATAATAATAACAACTGATTCTATTATCCATCCTGCCTGAGGAAGCAAAACCAAATATATTTTCACTAACTGCAAATGCCAAGTAGGATTCAGAGAGCCATATATGCAGTTCAGATTTCAGTACCAATTTATTCTCTAAGCCCAAGTGAATCACTTTTAGCTTCTATTGATCTCTGTAAAATGGCCTAGATCAGTGATAGTACAGAATGAAGTTTTGGAGGAGAAAGATAAATTCCTTTAAAATTCTTGTTAAATCCATAGGCCTTATCCAGAAAAAAAAAATTATACTTACATAGAAAATTTTGACCTTAAATTCAGAAAAGAATAATTTTAAATGACATTAGCTGCTACAGACTAAATGTCTGTGTCCTCCCCAAAATTCATATAACCTAATCTCCAATGTGATGGTATTTGGAAGTAGGGCCTTTAAAAAGCATTAGGACATGAAGGTAGTACCGTCATGAATGGTTTAGTGCCTTATAAAAGAGGCTCCAGAGACCTCCCTTGCCCTTTCTGCCATGTGAAGACACAGCAAGAAAATGGCCTTCTATGAACCAGGAATTGGGCTCTCACCAGACACTAAGTCTGCTGGTGCCTTGATAGACTTCCCAGACACCAGAACTATGAGAAATAAATGTATACTATTTAAGTCACACATTCTTTGTTATAGAAGCCTACTGTAGTCTGAATTTTTGTGTCCCACTTTCCTCCTCCCTCTGCCTGCAAATTCACATGTTGAAATCCTAACACCCAATGCACTGATATTAGGATGGGGGGCCCTCATGAATGAGATTAGTGCTCTTACAAAAGAGGACTGAGAGAATGCTCTTGCCTTTCCTGACATATGAGAAAGAAGTCTACAGCCCAGAAGAGATCCCTCACCCCACCATGTTGATACCCTGATCTTGAACTTCCAGACCCAAGAATTGAGAAATAAATTTCTGTTTTTTATAAACTACCCTGTCCCTGATATTTTGTTAAAGCAGTCCGAATGGAACAAAACACAGCCCAAATGAACTAAAACGCTAACTTGAAAAACTTCAAATATTAATTATATAATGGGATTATAATAATTTTAAATATACCATTAAATATACTGTTCTATATAAAATAAAACGTTAAGTGTGATAGGCAGAATTCCAATATGGCCAGCATGATCTCCACCCTTGTGGTTATGCTCTGAATAATCTACTCCTTTTGACTTTAGGTGGGACGTGTGACTTACTTCTAGCCAGTAGAATATAGCAAAGTGATGAGATGCCACTCCTTTTATTAGATTGCAGTATATATCTAACATGACAAGACATCATTCTCATGATCATGTTAAGTTACATAAGACTCTGTCTTAGCAGAGTCTGGCCTTGAGGAAGAAGCAAGATGCTGTGATGTAAACTGACTGTGGAAAGGTCTCATGGCTTAGTGCCTCAGTCCTAGAAAGGAAATGAAGTTTGCCACATCCAGTTGAGCTTGGAAGAGTAACTCAACTTAAAGATTGGAATACAGTCTAGTCATTACCTTGATTGCAGTTTAGTGAGACCTTGAGCATAAGATACAGCTACACCTGCTCAGCCTCCTAACCCATTCAAACTGTGAGATAATACAAGTTGTTTTAATAACTGAAAATTTTATGGTAACTTGTTATTCAGGAATAGAAAACTAATACAATAAAGTTGAACATTTTATATTCAATATCTCAAGTGGCCTTCTCATTTTCTTCCCAAATTTATGTTACCTGTTTCTTGAACAATTCAGATACACTTCTGGGACATTCAATTCCAGCCACTCACTGAAATAAGTGGTATGATGCTCTCATAGTTATTTTTTTTTAAAAAAGAGTGAACTTGTAGGGAAAAAAAAAGTATTCCAAAGCCAAGATGAACTCAAGGTTACTTACCTTTCATTCAATCACATAAAAAAGAATGGACTCTATAGTTCACAATTACTGAAGAGCTTTTTCTGATTCTTATACCTCATATCATATACCTTTTCAAGATAGATACCATTTTACCCATTTTAGTGATCAAAAGTATAAAGCTCAACTAGGTTAAAAGGTCTTGTCCGTTGTCACAAAACTAGTAAGTCACTAATATGACTCTCAATATGATCTTCTTTCCTCCATGATATTGCCTGTAATTAAATAAACCATGGTAATTTTGATAACCTTGACTTGACAGTAAACATGCCTGGATTTACCATTTTATTTTCTGAAAAAAAAAAAAAAAAAAAAAAAGCCTTTCTTGTGAGGAAGTCAACTAACAAGAAATATCTTAGAAAGAATGGTAATACACACATACACACAAATACACATATATCCCTATGTTCACATACATACTAGTGTTGTCTACATATATAATTACCAGAGCATGTATTAATTAAGTTTAAATGCATAGAGTATGTGTGTTACCTGAACTTGAAGCAAATCTTCTTTTCCTTTAAGATCTTTGACTAGAAACTTCTTCCTGTTATTAAAAAGGTTTTTAAATACATCACGATACTTTAAATTGCATAACTACTTTGCTTTCTTGAGTAGTACTTAAACCATTTGTAAATAAATAAAATATCTCCAAAACTCATATTTTTAAGATATATAAAATCCATATAAGTGATAAATAATTGAGTAACATTTCTCAAGTTAACTTCACATTGGTATGATTAAAATATGAGACTGAGATGAGGCAAGGATTTTCAAAGTACACTAGCCATTTTTTCCTCTCTGGTCATCTTTGCTTAAGTTTTTACTTAAAGTCCAGTTAGTTGGGTTACCTAGATGGCTCAGTCGGTTAAGCATCCAACTTCAGCTCAGGTCATGATCTCACAGTTTATAGGTTTGACCACCGCATCAGGCTCTGTGCTGATGGCTCAGAGCCTGGAGCTTGCTTCAGGTTCTGTGTCTCCTCTCTCTGACCCTTCCTTGCTCTCATTCTGTCTCTCTCAACTATAAACAAACATTAGGGGCTTTTTAAAATAAATAAATAAAGTCCAGTTAGTTAACATACAGCATTATATTAGTTTCAGGTGTACAATACAGTGATTCAATACTTTCATACAACACCCAGTGCTCATCACAAGAAGTGCACTACTTAATCCCCATTACTTATTTAACCCATCCCCCCCTCACCTTCTCTCTCATAACCATCAGTTTGTTCTTGATAGTTAAGAGTCTGTTTCTTGCTTTGCGAACAACACGAGAAACAACACATGTTGGCAAGGATGTGGAGAAAGGGAAAACCCTCTTGTACTTTTGATGGGAATGCAAACTAGTAGAGCCATTCTAGAAAACAGTATGGAGGTTCCTCAAAAAGTTAAAAATAGATCTATGCTATTATCTAGCAATTGCATTACTAGGTATTCACCCAAAGAATACAAAAATACTAATTCAAAGGGATACATGCAGCATTATCTACAATAGCCAAATTACAGAAACAGCCTAAGTGTCCATCAACTGATGAGTGGATAGCGATGATGTGATAACCCCACCCCTCCACACACAAGCTGGAATATTACCCAGCCATTAAAAAGAATGAAATTTTGCCATTTGTAACAACGTGGATGGAGCTTACCATTATGCTAAGTGAACTAAGCCATTCAGAGAAAGACAAATACCATATGATTTCACTCATATGTGGAATTAAAGAAACAAAACAAATGAGCAAAAGGAAAAAAAGAGAGTGGTCATCTTTTCTTCTTTGAAATAAAGGTCAAGGCTACTTATCCAGTTAATTTATCAGAATTTGTAAAACTCTATAAAGACTGGATTCACAGTTTCTTTTTTAAAATTATGTATTTATCTTTATTTTGGAGAGAGAGACAGACAGAGCATGAGTGGGGGAGGGGCAGAGAGAGAGGGAGACACTGAATGGGAAGGAGGCTCCAGGCTCTGTGTTGTCAACACAGGGTTCGACGCAGAGCTCAAACCCACAAACCATGAGATCATGACTTGAGCCGATGTCAGACACCTAACCAACTGAGTCACCCAGATGCCCCATATTAGGGTTGGACTAAAGCAAATTCAAAGTGCAAAAAATACTTTATATTACTAAAGAAATATTCACTTAAAAGGCCACTTTACAATAAGCAACATGCATGAAAAATAGATAATTGCTTTCACAAAATAAATATAATCAAGAAGTATGGTAAAAAAAGAAAAAGAAAAAAAAAAAAGGAATAGACCAGACTGAGGAATTAATATACAAATCACTAGCTAAACCATCAAGGAAATAATGTAAATTCTCTGTACCTTGAATGATTTGTGGATTTAATTCTGTTTACTTATTCCTGACTATCTGGTTTATTCTCCTAACCTACCTTTAGTTCTTTGTTCTTCCCTTCCCAGCCCTCTTCCACCATCATATCCTAGTCTGCTTATAAAACTATGGTATTATGTAGTGTTATACTTTTTAGAAACCTGTTAATAAGTTATGTTTATATGACCCCAAATTGTTTGTATAAAATGAGAATATAAATAAGAAAAAATATAAACATGTAGCTTTATGTCTTACTCTTGTGTATCCTCAGATTTTCTCTTGTCTTTTTTCTTTTCCATTTTCATAGTTTTCTTTGTCCGATCATACGTAGACTTTGGTTTCTGTGTAATTTTATATAAGCCAGAAATAAACAGTTAATGAGAGAATACATTAGAGGGGAAAAAAGATAATATGCATTACTAAGACGCCCATTTTACTTTGAGAGTTACTATACAATGTTTCAAGGAAAATTATCTAAAAAGAAGCAAAACAAAACTAAGGATATAGTCAGAATGTTTGTTATGGTGCTTTACTGAATGTATGTTGTATACAAGCTAATATATATCAAAAGAGGTAAATTTCCTGAAAAATTACAGCCAGATCTTCTATACTATTTACTTTCCTGAAAAACATCTATGAAAACTCATGCACTAAAAACTGCAGGATATATGAAACAAATGAGGTAAGGTGCCCAGCATGCAACAAACATTGTCAATGATACATTTTTTAAAAATAGAAATCTAATAAACAGTTCCATTTTACAAAGTTAGATGATTTGAGAAACACATAATATGAGAAATATAGTTTTGTTTTTAGAAAGACTTGAAGCGTGTTTGTGGAAGTGACCATTGAATAGGTTACAACTTGTTATCATGCAGTTGGGAAGAAGGGTTATCTGAAATTACATAAAAGTTGTAACAACAGATATGGACTGGTATGGTACACTACAAACATGGTGAATGAATACAGTGTGCAGAGTCTGCTTTCTTCTTTTACCTAGTACTTTTATCAGATGAATTTGTGGATAAACACATGTAAAATTCATATTATGTTCAAATTGTTTGTGTTAGAGCAAATTTGCTTTTCAAAACCAATATATAGCAGAACTAACCATATATTTCAAAGTATTCTTGAATGACTATGTAGTACTAGATTATTTTAGTCAAGAAAGTTGAGAAAAAAAATTAACAATTATATTATTGAAATTTTTAGATGAGCTTAATAATAGGTAGACCTATTAAGGCATTAGATGTTTATTTCATATATTATACAACTCCCAACAGATACAACTTCACTCTAGTGACAAAGTTCCCACAAGTTGAACACAAAGTGTAATAATCCTCATAAAACATGAAAAAACAGTATAATAGTGAATTCTAATGAGAATTGTTAAGGTCCCCACATAAACTTCTAGTTTAAATATGAGTTTTGGGATATATTTCATATACAGAAAAATCAAATATACATTGGCAACCAAAAAATACTTTAAAAATGAAAGGAAAAAAAACTTAAAATAATGAACAGATTGCCAGTTAGTTGTGAGAAAACTTCAAGTGGACAAATAGTCTTGTAATTTCAGTACATGATAGAGACAAGAAGTGAGGAAAGAAAATAGATATTTGAAGAAACAACACCCGAATTTTATTTTCAAATCTGACAAAAACTTTATGCCCACAAACCCACAAAATATAAGGAAAATTACATCCAAGACATATCAGAATAAAATTATAAGCAGTGATGAGGACAAAATCTTAAAAGCAGAGGAGAAAAATAAATTATATACAAAATAAAGTCGACAGCAGGCTTTTCAGAAACAATGCAAGTCAGAAGATAAAGGAGAAACTCTTTAAAGTACTAGAAGAAAAAGAACCAGCCAATCTAGAATTCCTTATCCGGAGAAAATATTTTTCAAAACTGAAGGCAAAAGAAAAAATGTGTTTTTTAGAAAACTAAGAGTTGAAAGAATATATCAGCTGCAGATCTGAACAAAATAATAATATTTATGATAATAATGATGATGAAGAATCCTTTAAGCACAAGAAAAATGACACTAGACAGAAATAAGGAAATATACAAATTAAAGACCAACAGAAATGATAATTAAATGAGTAAATATAAAGACTGTTTTCCTTATTATTTAAATCTCTTTAAAAGGTAATAGTTTACAGCTATACTAATAACAATGTGTTGTACGGTTTATACCATAGGAAGTAAAATGTATGAAAATATTCATATGCAGGCTGGAAAAGGACAAATAAAAGTACATTATCTTAAGGTTCTTGAGTGATTTATTATCACTTAAATACAGACTGTAATAACTTAAAACAAGACTGTAAATCCTTTACTGTAAAGCAACCAATTGCTTTAAAAAGTAATAAATATTTTGTTACCTGGAAGTATGGTGCTATTGTAACGTATAACTAAAAATGTAGACATGGCTTCAGAATCGGGCAGTAGGTAGAGGCTGAAAGAATTTCATGGAGCATGAAAAAAATATTTAGCAAATTATGAAAAGAAGAAAAATATTTTAACCTGGTAAATGATACTGAAAGAAAAAACTTGAAAAAGTATGCTGAATGACCATACAAACAAGAAAACTTCCCTTTAAAATCAGGAACAAATTAAAAATGCCTACTCTCATCATGTCTTTTCAATATCATTCTAGATGTCTTTCAGTATCACTCTAGATATCATTCTAGCAAAGTAAGAAAAAGAAATAGTTTTACAAATTGGAAAGAAAGAAAATTTAGGCCATTATTATTCATACATACTTTGAATGCAAAATTAAATAAACAAAAAATTATTACACTTCTCTAACAACAGTTTAAAAATACATTTAAAAAGATAGCAATTAAAAAAGCCTTTATACTTTATACATCAAGGTTGCCATTCAGAATTAAAGGAGAGAAAAAATGTTTCCAGGACAAGCAAAAACTAAAGGAGTTTTGTGAACACTAAACCAGCTCTATGTGAAATATTAACGAGGAGCCTTTGAACAGGAAAGAGAGACCAAAAGCAAAAAAGACTAGAAAGGAACAGAGACAATCTTTAAGAACAATGACTTTACAGGTAATACAATGGCACTACATTCATATCTATCAATAATGACTCTGGATGTAAATGGACTAAATGCTCCAAACAAAGACATAAGGCATCAGAATGATACAAAAATAATACCTATCAATATGCTGCTTACAAGAGATTCGTTTTAGAACCAAAGACTCCTCCAGATCGAAAGTGAGGGTACAGAGAGCCATTTTTATTGCTAATGGATTTCAAAAGGAAGCTGGAGTAGCCATATCAAACTAGATTTTTTTTAATTTTTCTTAATATTTATTTATTTTTGAGAGACAGAGAGTGAGCAGGGGAGGGGCAGAAAGAGAGGGAGACACAGAATCCAAAGCAGGCTTCAGGCTCCAAGCTGTCAGCACAGAGACTGATGCGGGGCTCGAACTCACGAACCATGAGATCATGACCTGAGCCAAAGTTGGCCGCTTAACTGACTGAACCACCCAGGTGCCCCAAAATAGATTTTAAACCAAAGACTGTAATAAGAGATGAAGAAGGACACTACATTATAATAAAGGAGACTATCCAACAAGATCTACCAATTTAAAATATTTATGTCCCCAACTTGAAACAAGCCCAAATATATTAATAAAAAAACTTTAAGAAACTAATTAATAATAATACAATAATAGCAGGAGACTTTAACAACCCACTTGCCACAGCAATAGGCAGATCATGTAAGCAGAATATCAACAATGGCTTTGACTGGCACACTGGATAAGATAGACTTAAAAGACATATTCAGAGCATTTCATCATAAAGCAGAATTCAAATTCTTTTAAAGTGTACATGGGACATTCTCCAGAAATGATTACATACTGCATCACAAATCAGCCCTCAACCAGTACAAAATATTGAGATGATATCACGGATATTTTCAGACCACAATGGTATGAAACTTGAAATCAACCACAAGAAAAAATTTGGAAAGACCACAAACACAAGGAAGTTGAAGAACATTCTACTAAAGAATGAATGGGCTAACAAGGAATTAAAAAAGAAATAGGGACACCAGGTGGCTCAGTCAGTTAAGTGCCCAACTTTAGCTCAGGTCATGATCTTATGGTTCTTGAGTTTGAGCCCCACATTGGACTCTCTGCTGTCAGCACAGAGCCCACTTAATATCTTCCACCCCATCTCTCTCTGCCTCTCCACTGCTTGGGCTCTCTCCTTCCCTCTCTCTCTGCCCCTCAAAAAAAAAAAAAAAAAAAAAAGAAAAGGAAGGAAAAGAAAAGAAACTTAAATAAGAAATTTAAAAAATACATGGAAGCAACGAAAATGAAAATACAACAGTCCAAAACCTCTGGGATGTAGCAAAGGTACTCATAAGAAGGGAGTATATAGCAATACAGGCCTTACTTAAAAAGCAAGAAAAGTCTCAAACACACAATCTAACCTTACACCTAAAGAAGCTGGAAAAGGAACAGCAAATAAAGCCTAAAACAAACAGAAAAAGGGAAATAATAAAGATTAGAGCAGAAATAAATGAAATATAAATTAAAAAATTAAAACAGATCAACAAAACTAGGAGTTGGTTCTTTGAAAGAATTAACAAAATCAATAAACCCCTAGGCAGACTTACAAAAATAGAGAGAGAAGGGGAGGGAAAGAGAGAGGAGCTAAATAAACAAGACCTTGAATGAAAGAGAAATCACAACCAAACACCACAGAAACACAAACAATGATAAAAGACTATGAAAAATTATATGCCAACAAATTAGGCAATCTGGAAGAAATGGTTAAAATTTCTAGAAACATATAAACTACCAAAACTGAAAAAGGAAGAAATATAAAATTTGGAAAGACCTATAGCCAGCAAAGAAATTGAACTAGTAATCAAGACTCTCCCAACAAACAAGAGTCCGGGACTGGATGGCTTCTCAGGGAAATTCTATCAAACATTTAAAGAGTTAATACCTATTTTTCTCAAACTGTTCCAAAAAATAGAAATGGAAGGAAAACTTCCAAACTCATTCTATTAGGCCAGGATTACTTTGATTCCAAAACCATGCAAAGACTAAAAAGGAAAATAACAGGCCAATATCCCTGCTGAACACGGATGCAAAAATTCTTAAGAAGATACTAGTAAATCGAATCCAATGGCACATAAAAAGAATCATTCACCATGATCAAGTGGGATTTATTCCTAGGCTGCACAGCTGGTTCAATATTTGTAAATCAATCAACATGATACATCACATTAATAAAAGAAAGGATAAGAACCATATAATCTTCTCAATAGATGCATAAAAAGCATTTGACAACATAAAGAATCTATTCTTGAAAAAGCCCTCAAGAAAGTAGGGATAGAAGGAACATACTTCAACGTCATAAAGGCCATCTATGAAAGACCCACTGCTAATATCGTCAAATGGAGGAAAAATGAGAGCTTTCTCCCTGAGATCAGGAACATGACATGGAGGTCCACTCTCACCACTGTTCAACTTAGTACTGGATGTCTTAGCCTCATTTTCATAAAGAAAAAAAAGGCATCCAAATTGGCTAGGAATAAGTCAAACTTCTACTCTTTGTAGATGACATGATACTCTATATAGAAAACCCAAAAGATTCCACCAAAAGGCTGCCAGCTCTGATAAATGAATTCAGCAAAGTCTCAGGTTACAAAATTAATGTAGAGAAATCAGTTGCACTTCTATACACCAATAATGAAGTAACAGAAAGAGAAATCAAGAAATTGATCTCATTTACAATTGCACCAAAAACCATAAGTTACCTATGAATAAACCTAAACAAAGAAGTAAGAGATCTGTACTCTGAAAATGAAGGAACATTTGTGAAAATAACTGAAGACACAAAGAAATGGAAAAATATTACATGCTATGGATTGGAAGAACAAACATCGTTAAAATGTCCATACTACCCAAAGCAATCTACACATTTAATGCATTCCCTATCAAAATACCAACAGGAGTTTTCACAGAGCTAAAACAAACAATTCTAAAATTTGTATGGAACCACAAAAGACCCCAACCAGCCAAAGTAATGTTGGAAAAAAAAAGAAGAAGAAGAAGAAAAAAAAGAAAAAATCAAAGCAGGAGGCATCACATCACAATTCCAGACTTAAAGCTGTACTACAAAGCTGTAATCAGAACCCAGGAATGGACCCACAATGTATGGTCAACTGATCTTTGACAAGGCAGAAAAAAATACCCAATGGAAAAAAAGACAGTCTCTTCAACAAATAGCATTGGGAAAACTGGACAGTGACATGCTGAAGAATGAAACCAGAACACTTTCTTACACTATACACAAAAATAAATTCAAAATGGATGAAAGATATGAGCCATAAAACTATCAAAATCTTGGAGGAAACACAGTCAGCAACCTCTCTGACCTCACCGATTGTAACATCTTAGTAGACATCTCCTGAAGCAATGGAAACAAAAAAATAAACTACTGGGACTTCACCAAGATAAAAAGCTTCTGCATGGTGATGGAAACAATCAACAAAACTAAAAGGCAACTTACAGAATGGAACAAAATATTTGCAAATGACATATCTGATAAAGCTTCGTATCCAAAATCTATAAAACTTATAAAACTCAACATCCAAAATAAACAAGTAATCCAGTTAAAATATGGGCAGAAGACATAAATAGACATTTTCCAAAGAAGATATCCAGTTGGCCAACAGACACATAGAAAGATGCTCAATATCCCTCATCATCAGGGAAATACAAATCAAACTACAATGAGGTACCACCTCATACTGTCAGAATGGCCAAAATTAACAACATAAGAAACAACAGGTGTTGGGGAGGATGCAGAGACAGGGGAACACTCTTGCATTGTTGCAAGAATGGGAATGCCAACTGGAGCAGCCGCTCTGGAAAACAGTGTGGAAGTTACTCAGAAAGTTAAAAACAGAACTACCCTATGATCCAGTATTTTCACTACTTGGTATTTATCCAAAGAATATAAAAATACTAATCCAAACGGATACATGCACCTCTACTATCAACCAATAGTCAAATTATGGAAAGAGCACAAATGTCCACTGACTGATAAATGGATAAGGAACATATGGTGTATACATATATACATAGTGCAATATTACTCAGCCATTAAAAAAGAATGAATTCTTGCCATTTGCAACAACATGGATGGAGCTAGCAAATAAGTCAGCCAGAGAAAGGCGTATACCATATGATTTCACTCATATGTGGAACTTAAGAAACAAAACAAAGGATCATAGGATTAAAAAAGAGGAAAACTAGGGCGCCTGGTGGCTCAGTCGGTTAAGCATCCGACTTCGGCTCAGGTCATGATCTCACGTTTCTGTGGGTTCGAGCCCCGCGTCGGGCTCTGTGCTGACAGCCAGCTCAGAGCCTGGAGCCTGCTTCAGAATCTGTGTCTCCCTCTCTCTATGACCCTCCCCTGCTCAAGCTGTCTCTCTCTCTCTCTCTCAGGAAGAAATGAAAACATTAAAAAATTTTAAAAAAAAAAGAGGAAAACTAAGAAACAGACTCAACTATAAAGAACAAATTGATGGTTACCAGAGAAGAGGTGGTTGTACGATGGGTTAAATAGGTGAAGAGGATTAAGGAGTGCATTAGTGATCAGCACCAGGTGTTGCATGTAAGGGTTAAAGCACTACATTGTACACCTGAACTAATGTTACAATTTATGTTAACTAACTGGTATTTTTAAAAAAACCTTTAAAAAATAAAATATATTTAAAAACATAATTTGTTGATATTTTAATAAATAAATATTTGGTCTAGAAATGTCTTGTGGAATGTTTTGTCTGTTTTTCATAGTATCTTTTTGGTTTTAATAGCTAATATGGTAATTTAGAAAATAGCATTATTTTATTTTTAAAGCATAGCTGTTACCTATAATTAATATCAAAAATGTATTGTAAAATATTTAAATATAGACTTGATTTCTAACCTGAAATAATAAGGTTTTTTAGTCATTCTGCCATTTTCAGACACTAAAATTGAACTAACCTCTGTATTCTTCAACTTCTGGAGTTCATTTTCCAGCACTGACTTCTCCTCTAGTAACTCTTCAAAATTACTTTGCATTTGTTTGTATTTCTAAAAACAAATAGTATAATTTTAGTAATAATGAAAATTATATGGGGTGCCTGGGTGGCTCAGTAGGTTGAGCCTCAGACTGCAGCTCAGGTCATGCATGATTTCACTTGCTCCTGAGATTGAGCCCCATGTTGGACTCTGAGCTGACAGTGCAGAGCCTGCTTTGGATTCGCTGTCTCTCTCTCTCTCTTTCTCTGACTGACACTGACTCTCTCTCTCTCTCTCTTTCCCCCCTCCTCAAAAATAAATAAATAAATTTTTTTTAAAAAAGAAAATCATACATTTCAATATAGAGAAGCTATTTGGGCATTTAATTATTAAAGTAAAAAAGTCTTCATGAATTCATGAAATAATGAACCATTGGTATTAACCAGCATAATGAACTATAATTGGGGCTGAAAGAGGCAAAGGAGCTAGAAATAATAATAAATGGAAATGTAGAAGCCCATGGGCTATTATAGTTCAATATTTTAGAAGTGAAGTGTTTTTGAGGGACAATAAAGTCTAGTAAAATAAAAAAAAGACAAAGCTTTCCAGCTCATTTATGCATAGAAATTTCTTGAATAAACTGAGGAAATACTATTTATTGAAGATTTTGCATCCTGACAATTTCTAGACTCTACTAACATTATCACAGGCAAAGTGCAATTTCAAACTGAGACTGCTATACTTACATCCTCTAACAAATTCTGATCATTCATAGTTCTGAAAAACAACCAAAAATATATGTAATGTATTATTTTACATTCATATGTTTATTTATGTAACATACTTATATAGTTTCTTTTGAAAACACTTAAAATAACACAAATGAAATTAGAATATAGTTTTACTATTATTCCAAAAATCCAGTGCTCTCTTTACGGAGATATTATTATATTGCTGTGTATTTTTTCAGAACCTGTTCAATACATTTACATATACTACATGTACCTATTCAACTCTATAATTTTTGTTAGTGGGTTGGGTGACTGCATTTTTTCTTCATGTAAGTGATATCAATGTATATATTGTCCTAAACTTATTATTTTCATTTAACACAATGTGTGAGATCTATTTATACTGGTAAACACAGATCTATCTCACTCATTTTAAGTATCACTTCTTATACCATAGCAGGATTTGGCAAATTTCTCTATAAGGAGCCAGATAGTAAATATTTTAGACTTTGCAGGCCAGACGAACTGTCACCACTACCTAATTCTGCAAAAGCAGGTATAGATGATAAGCAAATTAGAGGGCTTGGCTAGATTTGACTCATGGGCTGCAGTTTGCCAAAAACTGTTCCAAGGTATGGGTAAACTATAGATTTTTATTTTGGACAAATGAGTTATTATTATCCAAAATTTTTTAAGCTTTAGGATATAATTAACATACCATACAATTCACTCATTTAAACTATACAACTCACTTGTTTTTAATATATTCACCAAGTTGAGCAACTATTACCACTATTTAATTTTAGAATATTTTGATTACCCCAAAAGAAACCCTGTACCAATTAGCAGACACTCCCCATTCTTCCCAGCACTTCCCCTAACCCTGATAGGTACTAATCTATTTTCTGTCTCAATAGATTTGCCTATTCTGGATATTTTATATGAATAAAATTATATGTGATCTTTTGAAACTGGTTTCTTACACTTAGTGTACCGTTTTCAAGGTTCATCCATGTTATAGCATATATCAGTACTACATTCCTTTGTATTGCCAGATATTATTCCATTATACCAATGTACACATTTTATTTATCCATAATCTATATAGGTATTTAGATTGCTTACACTTTGGGCTATTGTGAATAATACTATTCTGAATATCCATTTACAAGTTTTTGCTTGTACATATGTTTTCAATTTCTCAGGTATGAACGTAGGAATAGAATTTCTGGGTCATATATTGACACTGTATTTAATATTTTAAGCAAACGATAAACTGGTTTCCATAGCAGACACACCACTCAATTCCTACCAGCAACGTATAAGGGTCCCAATTTCTCTAAATTCTTGTCAACAATTGTTATTGTTATCTTTTTTATTATGGCCATCACTGTAGTTTTTATTTGAAATTTCCTAATGACTAATGATGTTCAGTATCATTTCATGTGCTTCTCGGCCATTAGTATATCTTGCTTCAGAAAATGTCTTTTCAGATTATTTGTCCATTTTTATTTTATTTTTTTTAATGTTTTATTTATTTCTAGGAGAGAGAAAGAGACAGTGTGAGCAGGGGAGGGTCAGAGAGAGAGGGAGTCACAGACTGAAACAGGCTCCAGGCTCCGAGCTGGCAGTCAGCACAGAGCCCAACGCAGGGCTCGAACCCACGAACCGCGAGATCATGACCTAAGCGAAAGTCGGACGCTTAACCGACTAAGCCACCCAGGCGCCCCTATTTGTCCATTTTTAAATTGAGTTATTTATCTTTTTATTATTGAGGTATAAGAATTTTTTGTATATTCTGGATACAAGTCCCTTAGCAGATATATGATTTGTGAATAGTTTTCAAATTTATGTGTTATCTTTTCACACACTTAATGTATAATTTGCAGTACAAATGTTTTTAATTTTATGAAAGTCAACTTATCTATTTTCTTCTCTTTCGTTGCTTATGCTTTTGGTGTCTTATTTAAAAAACCATTACCTTACTCAACGTCACAAAAATTTATTTTTATATTTCTTCTAAAAGGCTCAGTTGTCCAAGTACCAATTATTAAAAAGACTATTCTTTCCACAAATGATATATCCAATAAAGGATATCCAAAAAATATAAAAATTTATACAAGTCAACACGCAAAAAAAAAATACAAACTGATTTTAAAATGTGCTAAGGACACGAATAGACATTTTTTCCAAAGACATACACATGGAAAACTGACACATGAAAAGATGTTCAATATCACTAATCATCAGGTAAATGTAAATCAAAACCACAATAAAATATCACCTCGCATCTGTTAGCATGGCTAAAATAAAAACCACAAGAAATAACAAGTGTTGGTGAGTATGTAGAGAAAAAGAAACCCTTGTGCGCTTTTGGTGGGATGCAAGCTATGCAACCACTGTGGAAAACAGTATGGAAATTCCCCAAAAAATTAAAAATAGAGCTATCTTACAATCCAGTAACCACACTACTGGGTATTTAACCAAAGAATACACAATTGTGTATTAAATTGAAAAGATAAAAAAGATAGATGCAGCCCTATATTTATTTTAGCATTATTTACAATAGCCAAACTATGGAAGCAGCAAAGTCTTTATCAATAGATAAATTGATAAAGAAGACATTTGTATATGTGCATATACACACTTGCAGTGGATTATTCAGCCATATGAAGAATGAAATCCTGCCATTTGCAACAACATAAATACAGACAGTACAGTGTTAAGTGAAAGAAGTCAGAAAAAGACAGATACGATATGATTTCATTCATATACGGAAGTTAAGAAACAAAACAAATGTACAAAGGAAAAAAAGAGAAAGAAACAAATGAAGAAACAGACTCCTAAATATAGAGAATAAACTGGTGGTTACCAAAGGGGAGGTGAGTGGGTAAATGGATGAAATAAAGGGGATTAAGAGTATACCAAGTAATGTATAGAATTACTGAATTCTATTCTGTAATGATATTATATACCTGAAACTAATATAACATTATATTTTTATTATACTTGAGTAAAAATTTAAAATATTTTTTAAAAATATTAAAAATCAATTGACTATAAAAATAAGAGTTTATTTCTGGACATTCAAGTTTATTCCATTGATGTATATAGGTATAACCTTGTGCCTGTACCACATTGTCTTGATTCCTACAGCCCTGTATTAAGTTTTAAAATTAGTTAAATGTGAGTCCTCCAACTTTGTTCTTCTTAAGATTCCTTTGGCTATTCTGGATTCCTTGTATGTCCACATGAATTTTAGGATCAGCTTGTCAGTTCATGAAATAATAAAGTTGGAATTTTGACAGAGATTGCATTGAATCTCTGGATCAGTTTGGGGAGCACTGCCATTTTAAGATTATTAAGTCTAACAGTCCATGAAAATGGAACGTCTATACGTTTAATTAGGTCTTCTTTAAGTTCTTTCAATGATGCTTTGTAGTTTTCAGTGCACCAGTCTTATACTTCTTTTGTTAAATTCATTCTTGTTGTCTTTGGTGGTATTTTAAATTGATTTTTTTTTTTTAATTTCACTTTTGGAATGTTCATCACTAGTGTATTAGATTCCTGGGCCTGCTGTAACAAAGTATCACAATCTGGGTAACTCAAAACAACAAAAACTTTATGCTCTCACAGTTCTGGAGACAACAAATCTAAAACTCAGTTGTCAGGGCCATGCTCCTTCTAAAACCTCTAGACAAGAAAGCTTGTTTGCCTCTTCCAGCTCCTCGTGGTCCTGGTATTCTCTGGATTGTAGTAGCATAAATCCAACCTCTGGCTCATAACTTCTTCTTTCTTTCTATAGTGTCTTCTCCAAGTATTACAAGGATACCAGTCATATTGGAATAAAGGCCATCCCACCCCAGTATGACCTCATCTTAACTAATTACATCTACAATGACCCTATTTAAAAATAAATTCAGGGGCTCCTGGGTGGCTCAGTCAGTTGAGCATCTTACTCTTAGTTTCAGCTCAGGTCGCAGTCTCCTGGTTCATGAGTTTGAGCTCCACATCAGGATCCATGCTTGCAGTATGTAGAGGCTGCTTGAGATTCTCTATCTCCCTCTCTCTCTGCCCCTCCCCTGCTAATTCTCTCTCTCTCTCAAAGTAAATAAGTAAACTTAAGAAAATAAAAATAAATTCAATATGAGGTACTGAGTGTTAGAGCTTCAACATAACTTTTGGGGAGGGAAGAATTCAACCCATAACGGTTATTATATAGAAATACAATTGATTTTTATTTATGAATACTGTATATTACAAATGATGAATTCATTTATTTCTTCAAATTGTTTTTAGCAGATCCCTCAAGATTTTCTATACACAAGATCATGACATCTACAAAAAAAGGTAGTTTTACTTCCTTCCCAATATGAACACCTTTCATTTCTTGCCTTCTCCAATTGCACCGGCTAGAACTTGTACTACAATGATAACTAGATGTGGTGAGAATGTCTTGTCTTTTTCCTGATTTTAGAAAGAATTTATTAAGTCCTTCACCATTAAATACAGCGTTAGCTTTGGAGTTTGGTAGTAGTTAGCCTTGATCAGATTAAGGAAGTTCCCTTCTGTTCCTAGTTTGTGAAGTATTCTTATCATGAAATGCTTGGATAGTGTCAAATGCGTTTACTTTGTCTAGTAAGCTGATCATGTGATCTTTTTTCTCCTTCATCAATCAGTATTGTGTACTACATTAGTTGATATTTGCATTTAAAACCAACCTTGCCTTCTGGGATAAACTCCACTTGCTTGTGATATGTAATCCATTTTATGTATCACTGGATTCAATTTATTGGTATTTTGCTGAGGATTTTGGCATTAATATTCACAACATACTGCTCTACAGTTTTCTTGTGATATTATTATCTGATTTTGATGTTAGAGTAATACTCCAGTAATTAAAATATAGAAATATTCTTGTCTCACAAAATGAGTTAAGTGTTAACTCCTCTTCTCCTTTTTGGAAAGGCTTGTGAAGAGATGGTATTAATTCTTCTTTAAATATTTGATAGAATTCACCACTGAAGCCCTCTGGCCTGAACATTTCTTTTTTTTAAATGTTTTTTATTTATTTCTGAGAGAGAGAGAGAGACAGCATGAGTAGGGGAGACTCAGAGAGAGAGGGAGACACAGAATCCAAAACAGGCACCAGGCCCTGAGCTAGCCGTCAGCACAGAGCCCGACGCAGGGCTTGCACCCACGAACCGTGAGATCATGACCTAAGCAGAAACCAGAGTCCAATGTTTAACTGACTGAGCCACTCCAGACACCCCTGCTTTGCCTATTTTGAGGGTTGTTTGCCTTTTTTAGGAATGATATATTCCTATTATCACTTCATTCTATTGTATATATACAAATATATTTCATAGTTCACTGCTTATCTTTTAACTTTAATTCACCTTTGAATTAGATGTTTTTAATTTTGGTAGAGTCAAATGCCTTCCCTGTATGTATGGGTTTTTTTCTTACATTTAGGTCTGTAATAAACATTAGATTTAGTTTCCTGAATGTGTAAAGAAAGAAACTGTCATTATGTTTTGGCCAAATGGATACTTTTACCTTGCCAGTGCCCTACCAATCCATTATGACTCCTCTTCCATTGATATAACTATAACTATCTGTGATACATGTTACTGGGCTACAGCTTGAAAAGCAAGACAGTTTACTACCTTTACTTCTGATCCCTATGTCTCCTTAGGGGAAAAAAAAATGCCTCATGATGGATTTCTTAATAGGCCTAGTTCCCTTCAGGACTGCACATGATCCTAGTGATGGACAATGTTCTCACCAAAGTTGACATCCATCCACAACACTGGACAGCAGCTCCCAGCACTCTGTTCACCAAAGAGGTATTATGCCTTCACAAACCATCCTATAATCCAATCTCTAACTGGAGTCTCAGTTTATCCCATAATTTAAGAAGGAACTTTTCAAGGTCCACTGAATCTATGCTTGCTTTTCCATTTCCCAATATTCACAGACCAACACTTAGACAGTGCACTGACCAGACCCTGAAGAATAAGTCTATTAGCTTCTCAAAAGACCAGGATAATTGTCCTGTTATGTTAGTGTATAATTCATCCACAATAACAAAATACAATCCTTTTTCCTATGTTATCCTATATTAATATGGCTATCATCCCACTGTATCTGCTCACCACTAAGCACCTCAGTAGACCCCCTTCCTTTTTCTGGTAACTACCCTTATATACCCCTCTGAATCCATGTAATTTCTGAGAGAGCTCAGATGACTATAGTCTTTAACTACAGTTGATTGGTCAGTTCAGAAATGGGCACCTGTCGCCGGGTGCAGAGGCGACGCCTGCAGTCCCAGCTACTTGGGAGGCTGAGGCAGAAGGATCGCTTGAGCCCAGGAGTTCTGGGCTGTAGTGCGCCATGCCGATCGGGTGTCACACTAAGTTCGGCATCAATATGGTGACCTCCCGGGAGAGGGGGACCACCAGGTTGCCTAAGGAGGGGTGAATCGGCCCAGGTCGGAAACGGAGCAGGTCAAAACGCCCATGCTGATCAGAAATGGGCACCTGTCTCTAAGTTGCACCAATGATTTTATCACCTACAACTTTTAGATTTGGAAAATCCAAATACTATCCTTCAGACTGACTGAAACTGAAAGACTAAACCTTAAGAATTTCCAGTAATCATGGATTCTCACCTATAGGCAAAAAATAAACAAAAGAGAAACTAGAAGGAAAGAAGAGATCTGCAATAGAAGAAAATGAAGCTCATGTAAAAAGGAAAAAAAAAAAAACAGTATATTGAGTGTTTTGAGTTCTGGTTTATAACTGTTTCTGAGATTAAGCCATAGTGTTGTTTAGTTTCAATAAAATGCCCAGAATCTTCATAATAAAATCTATCTTTTGCTCAGACTAATTTGAGTTGGGATTTTGTCCCAAGCACTCAGTCACATGGTAGAAGTTCAATAAACAGAGAATATTCTATAAGTTTTAGTATAGTTTTAGCTTTAATGACTTCAGAAGTATAAATGCTACAGACTTACAAAAAAATAAAACTTTGAAAGTCTAGTTATTTTTATTTCCTTAATATACTTAGTTTTGTGAACTTTGAACCATAAATTAATTTGTTGCAGTCCCTCTGAATATGGAAAATGCTGACCTAAACAAAAAACTTTAACTGAAAAAAAGTTTTAAATTATTATTTAGAATTTTTAAATAAGTGCAAAAGAAATGTATTCAAATTTTGAAATGTTTTTTGAACAGTTGAATAATTATAGTTCTGAAGTTATTAAAGTTTAAAACTATGCTATGACTTTTGCCACATCCTATATTTAACAGAATTTTCAAGGATATGACTGTAACAAGTTGTTAAAGAAAGCATCCACAGAGACCCTAAGCTCTCAGTAATAGTAATAGGTGAGGGAGATGACCATTTGCACTTAAATAAGTTGGCAGGCAAGAAAGTGCACTAAAACCTTTCACCGATATAAACAATATAACAGGGCCAGTAAAGAAAATTTAGAAAGGGTATTTCTCTGCAGGTAGCTATTGGGTGTCTTGAGCCATAACCAAACCCTTAAGGAAGAGGAGAATATGCTTCCCCTGACCTCAAGCTAGTGAGAGGCACTTCAAGAATGCTTAGAAAATTTGGAATGCGTTATCTGTAGTTATGGAAAAGAAGGCAGTGACAGTCAAGTAAGACTCTTCCTGCATACATTAACTTTATTTCCTCCCTTCCCAAACACGTGGAGAACAGACTACAACTAGTTAGTCAAAAAGGACGTAATGAAAGAGAAAAGTTAATCATAACCCCCAGCAAGCACCAGCGGGGATACTGGGTGAGGGGAAAGGGAAAGAAGTCTTAACTTTGAATAAAAATTAAACTACTGACTGTAATATTTGGCAGTGAATTTTAATTCCCCAATTTGTACAGTGCCTGGAAATTAAGCAATTATTATCTAGAAGTTATCAAAAAAAATCGTAGTCCTACCTCAGTTTTTATCCAGGAATAGGAGGAAAATCAACCCCAACTAGCAAATATAAATAAATCCAAAGTGTCCAAAAAAAGTTCCTTTGTGATTTCATTCTATAAGACATGCTTTTTCAACAGACCGATTTTGTAACTAATATAATCTTAGCCACCTGAAAGAACTTTGGTAATCCACAGTGACTATTTCTGATTCCTCATATACATGAAATCATATAACCTTGTCTTCTTGTGACTGGATTATTTTACTAAGTATAATATCCTCAAGGTTCATTCGTGTTGTACTATATGTCAGGATTTCTTTCCTTTTTAAGACTAAATAATACTTCATTTTATGTATGTATCACATTTCCTTTATCTCTGTTGGACACTTGGGTTGCTTCCACCCTTTGCTATTGTAAATAATGCTATAGTAAACATGGGTGTATAAATATCTTTGAGACCCTGATTTCAATTTTGCAGGGTATATATCCAGAAGGGAAACTACTGGATCATACGGTAACTGTATTTTAATTTTTTTAGGAAACTTACATACTGATTTCTATCATGGCTGTACAATTTAACATTCTACCTGATCATTATTTAAAAACTTTAAATTATACATATCAAAAAATTAATATAAGAACACCAAACTTTTTTAACAGTCTTATGTTTTCTTTAAACAAATGTATACTCATTTTCCTAATTATGAAAAGGAGTTATTTTAAAAGCTTACCTCTCTAACATAAGTGACTGTTTTTCAAACATTTTCAATATGGCATTCAATCGATTAGTCAGTGAATAAGCAATTTCTATTGTGGAAAAAAAAGGGGTAACATTTAAAGGCATTACAAATTACTGAAGTTATACCTCTAGGCTGATATAACTCACTCCTATACATGTGAAAACTAGATAAACATGAAGACACAGTAAAGTCACATGAGTACCCAAAGAACAAAATGCTTATGATAAAAATAGTTACCATTTTATTAAATACCCAGTATGTCACTGTTCTACTTTTAATTCTCTTAATCTTCAAAATAACCAAAAAAGAAAATATTCTTACATTTTCAAATAATTAAATTGAGTCTCAGAGAGATTAAATCTATGATTAAAACTTTGCACCTAGTAAATGACAAAACTGTATTGAGGTCAATATGTGTGTGACCTCCTTATAACATTGCATATAAAAGGACTCTAAGATGCTAAAAGAAAACTGCACTGGTTGCTGGTGCTAAATCAATAAGGTCTATGGGAAGACCCTAACAAGCCTGTTATGTTTTCCACCTGAATCAAATACCCCAAAAGGTTAACTAAAATACTCTTAAAAGGAAACCAGCATAATGAGAATCCATAATAATCAATGAACTCTCAGGACAATAACACAAGATTCTTCAATCTTGTAACTAAAAGTATAGGAGAGAAGACCGTTCCTTCATTGAGTTTGCTTCCAGATAAACCTAATGTAAAATATATAAGGATGTTAAATAATATGAAGGCATTTCACAGTTCCTATCAATTATATTTCTATATTATAGAGAAATATATGTTTAGGAGCTGAGAAGAGAAAGGAGGAGGATAGAAATCAGCTGAGTCTTACAGAAAGGACAGACTTTAATTAGAAAGAAGACAGGCAAACATCAGAAGTAAAGACAGGAAAGGTAGAAATGTGCTACATATATCATGGGAACCAACTAAGTAAAGTATATAAAGAAAAGAAGTAAGGGTCACCTGGGTGGTTCAGTTGGTTGAGCTACCGACTTTGGTTCAGGTCATGATCTCACGGCTGGTGGGTTCCAGTCCTGCATCAGGCTCTGTGCTGACAGCTAGCTCAGAGCCTGGAGGCTGCTTCAGATTCTGTATTTCCCCCTCTCTCTGACCCTCCCCTGCTCATGCTGTCTCTCTCTCCCTCTCAGAAATAAATTAAAAAAAAAAAAATTTTTTTAAAAAGAAGTTAACCAGAAGCTGCTTTAGAAGGGTCAGTACTCCTTAAACATTCAAAGGGTATACTGAAAGAAGTTAACTTTAGAAGAATCAAATTTAGAATTCTTTTATAGGCAAGGGAGAATAATTTAAAACGTTTGCATAAAATATTATACCATATCACTTTTTAAAGTTTATTTATTTATTTTGAGAGACAGAGTGTGCGCACATATGCAAGCAGGGAAGGGGCAGAGAGAGGGACAGAGAGAATCCCAAACAGGCTCCACACTGTCAGCACAGAGCCAGGCACAGGGCTGAAACCCATGAACCATGAGATCATGACCTGAGCCAAAATCAAGAGTTGAATGCTCAACCGACTGAACCACCCAGGTGCCCTTACCGCGTACTTTTTAAGATTAATTTGATAACAGCATAGGTTGTGATGTAAAATTATGCCCTGGATAGGGCAAAGGATTACAAAGAACATGAACTGTTATTTCTGTCACAATTTGAAAGTACACTTTACAAGACAGAGAAAAGGCCTTGCTATGGGCCAATATTTATCTGTTGAAACTCTGATCTACAATACGATGAGAGATGGGGCCTCTGAGAAGTAATTAAATCAGTAGGCATATGAGATTCTTCCATCATTTGAGGGATACAGAAAGAAAAGAGCCACTGCAAACCAGGAAGAAGGCTTTCACCAGAACTCAACCATACTGGAACACTGATCTCAGACTTCTCAGCCTTCAGGATCATGAGAAATAAATTTCTATTGTTTATGCCACCCAATCTGTGGAATTTTGTTAGAGCATCCCAAACTAACACAGGCCCCCAAATCAACCAATTGTTCTTTCTAAAGTTATTATTATGAATACTTTGAAAACCAAAAAAAAAAAATCAAGAAACCCATTTCTTTTTTAGATTTTTCTATTTTTAAGTAATCCCTACATGCAATGTGGGGCTCAGAATCACAACCCCAAGATCAGAAGTTGCATGCTGTATTGACTGAGCCAGCCTGTCACCCCCATTTCTTAGTCTTACTGAAATGTTCTGGTGAAGATCCTCTTCCTGAGTAGAGTATGCTAGTTAACAAGGTGGCCTATGAAGTAAGATTGAAGTAGCTAAAATGGTAAAGGGAGATTTAGCTGCATATTGTGGAGGAAGACCTCTTTTATCCCTTTTATAAAAGCTGTAGTATTTCATTAATAAATTGATAAAAATTATTAATATTTAATGCATATCACTTATCAATGGATAGTTTTATTCTTCTTTAGAAGAGTTCTCAGAGACAGCTAGCATCTAGGATTCATGTTCCATACATGGGTTACAAAAATGCGATAAAAATGTACATTAAAACGCTCTTATCTTATATCCCCTAATTCTCAAGTCAAATGTCTTTAAGACTTTATGTTATTTTTTTTAAAAAGCTATTCTCTTTTTTAAAAAGTTTTTAAAAATATTTATTCTAAATTTTAAAAAGTTATTCTATTTTAAAGCCATTATTATGAATGGACCATAATTCACTTAGCCAGTCCTAAAAATGCATGTTTTTCCATGTTTATGTTTATATAAATATGCTAATAGTAGTTATTCCCTGTAGAACAGAAATATAGAAATTACCTATATGAACATCTATGGGAGAATTATAAATTAAGACATAACCGTAAAATAGAACGCTATGCTGCTGGTAGGAATGCAAACTGGTGCAGCCACTCTGGAAAACAGTTTGGTTTTTTTTTGTTTGTTTATTTTTAAATATTTTTATTTATTTATTTATTTATTTTTATTTCTAGGAGAGAGAGAGAGAGACAGCGCGAGCAGGGGAGGGTCAGAGAGAGAAGGAGTCACAGACTGAAACAGGCTCCAGGCTCCGAGCTGGCAGTCAGCACAGAGCCCGACGCGGGGCTCGAACCCACGAACCGCGAGATCATGACCTAAGCGAAAGTCGGACGCTTAACCGACTAAGCCACCCAGGCGCCCCTGGAAAACAGTTTGGAGCTTCCTCAAAAAGTTAAAAATAAAACTACCTTATGACCCAGCAACTGTACTATTAGGTATTGATCCAAAGGAACCAAAAATTCTGATTTGAAGGAGCACATGCACTCATAGCAGCACTATCAGAAATAGCCAAAGTACAGGAAGAGCCCAAATGTCCATGAACTGATGAGTGGATAAAGAAAATGTGGTGTGTGTGTGTGTGTGTGTGTGTGTGTGTGTGTGTGTATTATGGAATATATGTATGGAATATATATAGTAATATATATGCACATGGAATATCTGAAATATATATATGGAATATTCCTCAGTGATCAAAAAGAATTAAATCTTGCCATTTACAACAACGTGGCTAGAACTAGAGGGTATTATGCTAAGCAAGTAAGTTTGAGAAAGACAAATATCATATAATTTCACTCACATGTGGAATTTAAGAAACAAAGCAGATGAACATTGGGGAAGGGAAGGAAAAATAGGATACAAAAAGAGGGAGCCAAAGTAAGAGGCTCTTAAATACAGAGAACAAACTGGGGATTGCTGGAGGAGAGTTGGGTGGGGTTACGGTCTAAATGGGTGATGGGCATTAAGGAGAGCACTTGGTGGGATAAGCAAAGGGTATTATATATAAGTGATGAATCACCAAATTCTATTCTTCAAATCACCATTACATTACAGGTTAACTAACTTGGATTTTAATTAAAAAAACAGTAATAGCTATAAAAAAATTGAATGCTAAATGGCCATTAAAATGCTTACACATCATGCCAGTATCTCTGTTGAGACAAATTCCTAAAACTAAAGGTGTAGGTTGTTAAGGTATGCACATTTCTATTTTTATAGATAATACCATAGTGAGCTCCATAAATTTGAGAACAATTTTCATTCAAACCAACAAAGTATGGCAGAGTTTTTCTCCACACTGTCACCAACACTAGTTGTTACTAATGTTTAACTTCAATATGTCTTATAAGTAAAAACTTTTTATCATTATTTTAATTTTCATCTCTGTGATCACTAGTCAAGGTTCATTTCATTTATTTTTGGACATTTTTATTTTTTCCTCTGTGAAATGCCTGTTCATATGTCTGTTCCTTTTCCTCCTGAATTGTTTGCCTTTTTATTATTCATTTGTAGGAGCCAATTAATATTAGCATATAATGCACAACAAATATCTTCTAGTCTTCTATTGTTTACTTAGTGATATTTATAGATTATTTCAAATGTACAGAATTTTGACATAGTCAAATATATTGATTTTTTTGTTTTATAAAAGTTCCTGGGCTTTACTTCATTCTTTAAACATCTCAATATAAATTAATCCCCTTAGTATTATTTTATATTTTATAGTCATGCTTATTGAGTCATACATAAAAACACATTTACAGTTTAACAAATAATTACAAAGCAAGTATCCACCTAACCACCAATCAAGATCAACACCTGGTTACCTGGGATTGCCAATATCCTAGAAACTATATGCCTCTCCCCATTCACAACCCTCTCCTTCAAACTATTATCCTGAGCTTTTTCCCCTCATATTTATATGTTTTCTACCTTTGTTAATATCCTTAATCAACATATTTTCCCAGCTTTTACTTTAATACAAATGAAAGCACTCCCTGTATTTATGACTTACTTCTTTCCATTAATATCACATTTGAAAAGTTAATGGTATTCTGAGTAGCTATTTCAAATTTTTTCATTATAGTATTTTCCACAGCATAAATAGACCACAATTTGTTTATCCACTACACTCTATAAATATATAGGATCTTCAATTTGGGGGGCTGTTAAAGAAAACAAAACAAAAAAAAAACACTTGGCATGATAATTCTTTTACATGTATCAAAATGACAGAGTAGGAGACCCAGCTTCCACAAAGACCAACCAT